AGAAAACTTCATGATCTTGCTATAAAATATGTGACAGAATGGCTGGGATTCTGAATGTGGATGCCCGGCAGCAGCCTCCCCAGGAGCTCGGTGTGGCCCGGTCCACGGAGGCCACGGTGACGGCCCAGGGCAGCAAGCATCCGTGTGCTGATGGAGCTTTTCAGTACCCCGGTGACGGATGCGTGGACTTACGCGGAAGACAAATTGTCAAGAGTCACACACAGACACGTACATACATGTGCACGTACATACACACAAACACACGTGTGCACACGTCCACACTCTACCACCAGGCATCTGTGTCTCTGAGCTGTCTCTCGGTGCCCCACGGGTGTCTCTGTGAGATGTCTCTGCTCCTTGGCTGCCGTTCTGCGCCCCCCTACCCCCCCCCCCAGCTGGCCTCGGGTCACGGTCAGGGTGGGCGTGCAGATCAGCCCTGCTTTGGGGAGGAACAGAGCCTGGCTGACAGTGGAGGACGGGCGGGGAGTTGTATGGTTCTGTCCTCCCTTGTTCGCTTGGAGATGTGCTGACTGCTTGCGGCCCGTCTCTCTTTCTGGGGACAGAGGAAAGGATGGTGCGTGGGAGCTGCTGCTGGGGCCACTGAGCCGGCCGCTCTGTGCCCCGGACCCTGAACTTCCTGCCGATTCTCCGACCCAGTGACTGTTCTCCAGTTTGCTCAGCTCAGGGAAGATGTAAACAGAATGGATGGTCATGCTCACTCAAATGTGGTTTCTGGATTATTCTGACCTTTTGTAGCCCATGAAGGTGTTTTCCTGGGCGAGAGTAAAAGCCCGGCCTGCTGTTCATGCTCGCCAAGGCCAGAGCTGACCCGTGAGACGCTGGGCACCTGCTAGGCCCTCTGTCCCCGCCCCTGAGCCCCTGGGGGCGTCTCTGCTGAGGACACTGGTGACGATGTTGGCCCCGTGGTCTCACTGCAGCTCGCTCAGAGCCCTGCACTGGCCCTGCTCCATTTTACATGCCCAAGGCCTTGTCTGGGCTCCTGGGAGGGAAGGTGAGGCATGGCGCCCAGTGGCTCAAGGGCCCTGTAGGGGTGGGATGCAGGGTGCCTCCCCTGTGACCAAGACAGAGCTTCTAGAAGGTACCCCTGCGTTCTCCAGGAGGGGCAGGGAGTGCTTCCTGGTGTGGGCAAAGCTCGGTCCCTGCAGGGGCCCGGGATTGGTGACATCTGTACCCACCTCCAGGGCCGAAGACCCGTTGTCTGGCCGGAGCACTGGCCGTCCACTCCACGCTGCTGGGGAATGTTCTCTGTGAACAGGAGCTGGACCCCGCTGCTCTGGCTGGCAGGAGCACCTCGGTGACCGCCTGAGAAGGGACCACGGCCCGCATACACCGTGGATACCTCTTGAGAAAAATGGTGCTCACACACGTCCACCTCCCCTCCTAGCAGACTCACGGGGCTGAACACCAGTTCACAGGCCACGGGGGAGCCCCAGGTCAGGCTCTCTCACCTAGAATCGGGTGCCAACTTTGGGCTGACAAGTGATGTCACCTAGTGTTTCAGACACACATTGAGGAGCCGCCCCCGATATTCAGTACAACTCTGGTTTTTAGCCTGTGCACAAGATAAAAAAAATAAACCTTTGGGACGCCTGGGTGGCTCAGTCATTAAGCATCTGCCTTCAGCTCAGGTCATGATCCCAGGGTCCTGGGATCAAGTCTGGAGTAGGGCTCCCCGTTCAGCGGGAAGCCTGCTTTTCCTTCTCTTTCTGCTGCGCCCCCTGCCCCCCCTCCACTCGTGCTCTCTCTCAAACAAACAAACAAATAAATAAAGCTTTATTTTTTTACTTATAAAAAAGTGGCAGAGCATCCAGAATATATAAAGAATTCCTACAACTCAATAATAAAAAGAACCAATTTAAAAGTGGGCAAAAACCTGGAGTCAGCCTTTCTCCAAAGAGGATGTACATGTAATAAGCTCATGAAAAGTTGCCCAACATAGGTCATCAGGGAAACGAAAATCAGAACCTCAGCGAGCTCTCACTGCACACTTTTTTTTTTTTTGAGATTTTTTTATTTGAGGGCGAGAGAGCTGAGCTTGCACAGCAGAGGGAAAAGCAGACTCCCTGCTGAGCGAGGAACCTGATCTGGACTCGATCCCAGGACTCCTCCCCCAGGATCCCAGGATCATGACCTGAGACTAGGGCAGGCGCCCACCACCACACACTTTCTAGCATGGCTATTAAGGCAAAGTGGACAGTGGCGCACCTGAGTGGCTCAGGCGGTTGAGCATCTGACTCTTGGTTTCGGCTCAGGTCCTGATCTCAGGGGTATGAGATCGACCCCACCTCAGGCTCTGTGCTCAGCGTGAACTCCGCTTAAGATTCTCTCTCCCTCTTCTCCTCCCTCCACTTGCGTGCAAGCTCTCTCTCTCTCTCTCTGAAATGAATAAATAAATCCTTAAAAAAAAAATGAAGTCGCAACATGTGCTCTGATATGGTTGAAGTCTGAGTGAAGGAAGGCAGACAAAGGAGCTAATGGTTCCCTTTACATGAAATGTCCAGAACAGGCCAAGCTGCGGAGACAGAAAGTAGACGAGTGGTTGCCAGGGACTGGGGAAGGGGAGTGGGGGTGCTGCTAATGGGGACAAGCTTCTTTTGGGGCCATGGCAAGTTCTCATATTAGATGACGCTGTTGGCCAATAGACGCAAACCACCGAATATAGTAATGATACTAAAAAACACGGGATTGCATGTTAAAATGGTGAATTTTGTGGTGTGTGGATTATACTGCAAGAAGACACAGAAAACGGGCCAGCCGTGTGGTTCTGTTTCCTCATCTGCTCCATGGACACAGCCTTGCCCATGCCGGACTTGCGGCGGCAGGGACAGCGAGGGGAGCCACCCCCCGGGCTGCGTGTGGGTCTCCTCTCCCCGCGTCCAGAATGAGGGCCACCCCTGTGTGCTGGACACCTCCCCCTAGCCCCTGTGGTCCCCAAGCTTCTGGAGGCTCATTCTGGGTTTTTTAAAAAGACTTTATTTGTTTGACAGAGAGAGGCACAGCGAGAGGGAACACAAGCAGGGGGAGTGGGAGAGGGAGAAGCAGGCTTCCCGCGGAGCAGGGAGCCCGATGCGGGGATCGATCCCAGGACACTGGGATCATGACCTGAGCCGAAGGCAGGCGCTTAACCGACTGACACCCAGGCGCCCTTAATTAAAAAAATATATATTTTTTATTTATTTTGAGAGAGCTAGCACACAAGTGAGAGAGCACAAGCAGGGGGAGTGGGAGAGGGAGAAGCAGGCCTCCCGCCAAGCAGGGAGCCCGATGCGGGGCTTGATCCCAGGACGTTGGGATCATGACCTGAGCCGAAGGCAGATGCTTAATGACTGAGCCACCCAGGCGCCCCTCGTTCTGTTGATAGGAAGCAGAGAGGAGGCTGGTGTCTGGGCTCATGATTCTAGTGGGGAGAGCTGGGATCTCAGTCCCGGCCGTGGAGCTGGGGGTGGCTGCCTCGGGCCCTTGCCTCACCTCCTGGCAGGGAATGGCCACGTCAGACCTGCCTGGAACTGGCAGGTTTGTTTTGTGGGTGCATTTCGTGGCCTTTCTGTGGGGAGTGTGTGCTGTAGGTATGGAAACTTCACCTGAACACTTCCCACCCTCAGCAGGTCAGGACACAGGACCGCGAAGCCGGCCCCTTTCTGAGCAGAGGAGGGGTCTTCACCCAGCTCCTGGGCTCCTGGGCACTGGGCCCCTCCTGCCAACCCCTCTCCACGGGCCAAACCCCTCCTTTGTACACTTGGCATCCGCGATTATTCTGAGCTTGTTCTGAGAACTTCGCAGGACCCGGAGACGTCAGAACCCATACAGGACCCTCGGTTGGACACAGATTGAGACAGAGATGTGGATTTTGTTTGGATAAAGGTTCCTACAAACCAACTGTAAAAGGGCACTTGGGGAAAACTGAGTATTGGCCACGTGTTGACATAAGGGAATTATTATGTGTTTTGTTGATCATGACATTCGGCCCAGTAAGAAACGTTTCATTTTTCAGCGTATGTATTGATATGTTTAGGGATGAAATGGCATGGTATGTATAATTAACCTTCAAAAATTTTAGGAAAAATTGAACCAAATGTGCCAAAATGTTCATCGTTCATAGTTTTGGATATACGGTTACTGTATTATTCTTAATAAATAAATACATAATAACTTTTTTTTTTAAGTTATCATTTAGGGGGGCGCCTGGGTGGCTCAGTCGTTAAGCGTCTGCCTTCAGCTCGGGTCATGATCCCAGAGTCCTGGGATCGAGCCCCGCATTGGGCTCCCTGCTCAACGGGAAGCCTGCTTCTCCCTCTCCCACTCCCCCTGCTTGTGTTCCTGCTCTCGCTATCTCTGTCAAATAAATACATAAAATCTTTAAAAAAAAAAAGTTATCATTTAGGGGCGCCTGGGTGGCTCAGTCAAACGTCTGCCTTCGGCTCAGGTTGTGATCCCAGGGTCCTGGGATCGAGCCCCGCATCAGGCCCCCTGCTCAGTGGGAGCCTGCTTCTCCCTCTGCCTCTCCCCCTTCTTGTGGGCTCTCGCTCGCTCGCTCTCTCTAGCTTGCTTTCTCCCAAATAAATAAAATCTTAAAAAAAAAAAAGTTATCACTTACAAGAGCACCAAAATCTGATGGTCCTAGGAATTAAACTGATAAAGACATGCAGGACTATTATAGAGAAGATCATGAAACTTATGACAGCTCATTGGTTAGGCTTTGGGACACGGAGAGACACACAGACATGGGTCAGAAAGCTTAATTATCTGTCTCTGTGTAAAAAAAATCACGACTAAACTTAGTAGCTTAAAACAACCACCATTTTTTTTTTTTTTTAATTCGAGATTCTACTCAAAACCTGCTGGTCCAGCTGGTGGGCTCCTCCCCATCCCCTCCAACCACTGTCTCTGTGTCTGTGTCTCCCCCTCTCTCCCCTGTGTGGCCTTCTTCCCACGACTCTCCCCCAATCTGCCTTCTTAAGGCTTGGGCCCAGAAGTGCCTCACCCCTTCTGATCAAAGCCACTCCCAGGGCCAGCCCAGACTCCAGGGAAGCCTGCATGGGCAAAGACATCTGCCAGAGGCCAGAGGGGGCTCATGAGCAGAGCTGGACTTGGACTGAGGCAGCAAGCGTTGAAGACACGGTCCCCTTCTAAAAGCCAGTGCCTCTGTTGCTGTGGGGCCTGCAAGCCTGAATCTGCCTAACCCAGCATACGAATGGCCCCAGGCAACTCACACAGCCTGTTTCCCCACCTGTCACAGTGCAAGATAAAGCTAACACTGACCCGGCAGGAAGAGGGCTGAGGTGTAATTTGCAAAGCGATTAATATATGACAAATACAAGGATTTGTAGAGTGATGTATAATGTTTGTGAAGAGACTGATGTGAGGTGAGGGTTGAATAAGGGGGTTCTAGCTCCTTCCTCTTCCTGGCCTCTCACTCAACCCCTCTGACGGGATCTCAGGATCCTACAGCCCCAGGAACCTGCCTGGCAGCCATGACAGTTCTCTCTGGACGTTGGAGAAACCCTGTTTGGCTCTGGGCCTTCAGCATGGAGTGTCCCCCAGCAGGGCAGGACCCCCAAATGTTGCCCAGTGAGGCTCCTCCCTCTGGGCTCCACAAAGCCCTGCCCTCAGCCAGGCAGCCAGGCAGCCGTGGAGAATCTGGAAAGGAAGCAGGCCGTGCTGACAGCCTCTGGCAAGCCACCTACTGCAAAGGGAATTTACAATGGGCCAGGAGCACCTGCTGTCTAGGGCAGCTTAGCATCTCCGGATCCGAGCGGACCTGAGCACCCTCTTCAAGAGAATGGCTGGCTTGTCCTGAGGCCCCCAGTGCCAGAGACAGACACTGGAGCAGGCTATGTGGGGGCCTCCAGGGGCCTCCAGACTGGGCTCTGCGCAGGAGGAGGTGACTCCACCAAACCCCCTGGAGAGGGAAGTTGACAGTGACCAGGGGAAGCCTCAGGAGCTGTGAGCCCTTCAAGGGGTGGACACCTGCCAACCTCCCTCCACATCAACAGGGCACAACCAGGCAAGGATGCCACCCAAATTTAGCGTGCCCCAGGAGGGAGGGAGCAGCTTTGAAAGCCAAGGGCCGCCTATGGAGTGAGGAGAGTGAGTGGGGGTGCTAGGATGGGGCAGCGGGCGGGGCTGGGGCGTTGCGAGGCAGAGGGTCTGGGGAGGGACGCTGCTGGTGAGAGGGAGTGGAGCTGTGTCCACTCTGGCCTTCCTTTGGTTGGCTCCTGAGAGCCCCCAGACACAAGGTCCTGTCCCAGACTGTGGGAGGTCCTGGCTCAGGAGTCCCAGAAGTAGGGTTCCTGGGGCCTGGGATGCCCACCCCCAGCAAGGACATAGCCAGCAGCTGGGACAGCGTCTGCCTCAGTGTGTGCTCAGCCAGAGCCCTGCCCGAGGGTGGCCCTGGGACCCCCAAGCTTCCCCAGTGGCCATTCACCTCCCCTAAGGCAAGGCAAGGAGCCTTAGGGGAGGGAAATGGGCGTGGGCGGTGGGGGGAGACCTCAGCGTGGGAGGAACAGCCTGGGACATAAAGGGCACCGTTTCCTCTCGGACCGTGGACTCCACAGCCAGCTGGTCCGCAGACTGGGGCCCCGGGGAATGCGGTCTTGCTGCCCCACCAGACTGGGCCCCAGGCCTCCCCTCCTCCGCTTCGGGTGACCCCACAGGGGTCAGCAGAGGACGCGGCGTGACATTTGCCAGGTTGCTGGCCGCTGTGCGGACGTCCCCCCACAGGCACAAGTCTCGCAGGACACAGACGCAGAACCTTTATTGCACAGCGCACGGGTGTCCGGCGCGGGGCTGGCGCGGAGGGCGCCCGGGCGCGGCGGGACGGGTCAGCGGCTCGGCCAGAGGAGCGTGAAGGCACGGCGGCTGCAGCGGAAGTCCGGCTCTGGTTGCTCGGGCTTGGGCTCCACGGAGACGAGGCGCCGGGCGCCGCGCTGGCTCAGGGGGATGCAGTCGGAGACGCGGACCTCCAGGGCCCTTCCCTGCCTGAAGCGGGGACGGGAGGGCGGTCAGGGGGCGGGGCCGGGCCGGGAGGGAGGCGGGTCAGGGGCGGGGCGGGGCGCCGGGGGCGGGGCAGAAGGCCGGTCGGGGGCGGGGCCGGGAGGGAGGCCGGTCAGGGGGCGGGGCCGGGCCGGGAGAGAGGCCGGTCAGGGGCGGGGCGGGGCGCCGGGGGCGGGGCAGAAGGCCGGTCGGGGGCGGGGCCGGGAGGGAGGCGGGTCAGGGGCGGGGCGGGGCGTCGGGGGCGGGGCAGAAGGCCGGGCGGGGCGGGGCGGGGCGGGGCCGGGAGGCAGGGAGGGCGGGCGGTCGGGGACAGCGGGGGCCCTCTGCGCGCCCCGACTCACCCCTGGCAGTACGCGGCCAGCACGCCCACCAGCTCCCCCACGCGGTTGTCCAGCGGCGGCCGGGAGCGGTGCAGACACACCACCAGGTCGTCCCGGCCCCGCGCGTGCAGCACCACCAGCTGGTCCCGCCCGCTGGTCACACTCAGCCCGGTCACCTGCGCGGCCGGGGCCGGGCTCAGGGGAGCGGCAGGCCCTCCTCCCCGCCCCCAAGATCCCGGGCCGCGGCCCGCCCCCGACAGCCTCCCGGAGCCCCCAGCCCGCCCCTCCGGGTCCCCTTTCCCCCTCTCTAGCTCCGCCCGCAAAAGGGAGGGTGGGCCGCTACGCCGCTTGAGAGAACTTGCTCCAGGACGGGACGGAATGTTCTCGATCGACGCCTCTAATCCGGCGCCACCCTCCCCTGTGGCGCTCGAGTGCCCCTTGCGTGTGCTGGTGCGGCCGGGGCGCTGAGCCGTCTGGTTTCCCTCCATTACATCTAAGCGGCCCCCCGGCGTGGCCGGCGCTCCAGATGGGCCCCCCACTCGGTTACAGGGACCCCAGGACGAGAGCGCTGCGCACTGCAACCAGTCCCACGGTCGGGCCGGACACCCCCAGGCCGCCATGTATGGGGGCAAGAGGGGCCCGTGGCTCGCCCCCCTGTCCCCCCCCCCCCCGAGCAACAGAAAGGCCCCACCATCCTGAGCTGATGCTGAGTTCTGGAAAGCTCGGGCCTTCCCAGGTAGGCGCGAGAGGAGGGGCCCTGCAGACGTCCCCACCTCCCCCGGCCCCCCCCCCCCCCCCCCCCCGGGGCTCACCGCTTCCAGGGGCACGGCCCGCATCACCCGGTACTGCCGGCCGGGGTCCAGCTTGTAGACATGCCGGTCAGTGAGCAGGAGCGCCCGGTCCCGGCTCTTGTTGAAGCGATTCACCTGCGGGACAGGCGATTTCGGGGTCACCTGTCTGGCCCCAGGGCCTCCTCTCCCTGGACCCCTTTTCTCAGGGACTGAGTTGGATCTGACCACTTCTGAAACCTCTGCCCTGGGCTGTCGATCCTCCCCTGGTCCCACACCTCACCTTCCGGACGTGACTGGAGAACAGCACAGCCCCAAAGCTGTCCTTCTCACGGAGTGCCTTCAGTCGCTCAGCGAACAGGCCCGAGGCTGTGGGGTTGTCCATGGCCTGAGGACAGATGGGGGCTGCTTGACCGCGCTGGACCAGCAGCGAGTCTGGTGAATGGGCACCCCTGTCCCTCACCTCGCGAGCCAAGCCGACTCAGGCCTTGAGCCAGCCTCCCCTGGGTTGTCTGAGGGCCCCGCGCCCAGACCGCTGCAGCCCTAGGTTCTGGTCATCCCTGAGCCCTCCATAGCTGCCCACTGTCCAGAAGCTGAGAAGGCAGGGTCCCGGGGGCCAGGGAAAACCTTGAGCCTTCGTCCACTGTAGAACGGGGCCAGGGGCATAGCTCACCATGCCCGTGCGAGGGCCAGGGTGAGCCAGGGCATGGGTGCAGGTGGGGGGGGGGGGCGCGCAGAAGAGAAGGTGCTCAGTAAAGCCCAGAGGCCAGGGGCAAGGGCAGAGGGGCATGGCCCACAGGCCGGACAAACAGCCAGGCCCTGGGAGAGGACACGTGGGGTGGACACCGGCAAGCTCTCAGCTCTGAGCCCCTCCTTGGTGCCCAGTTTTCATGGCCCCGACACTCACAGAGGACAAGTAGTCCCTGACCCAGGCCCGTCGGCAGCCCCAGTCCTGCCGTAGTTCCTGCAGGAACCCCATGGCCGCCACTTTGGCCTTGATCTGGGCCATGTCTGAAGGTGGGATGTTCTTCACCAGCTGCCGGGCCCGCCACCTAGAGGGAACCGGGTGGTCAGATGGACCCCATGCAGCCCTCACCTTCCCCACCCCGGTCCTACCCCCCTCACATCCATGCCCTCTTCTCGCTCCCTTTTCCCCACGGGAGAAGGCCAAGCCTCTCAGCCTGGCACTGGCCATCCTGATTTCGGGCTCCCTGGTCTCTGCAGGGGCCCCTCCCACTCTGAGGACAGTGCGGCCTCCTGGAGAACTCCTACTCAGCCTTCAAAGCGCTGCCCAAACGCATTGTTCCCCCCTATTCCCTGTCCCAGCCAGCCACGCTCCCCTCCAGGCCTCCAGCAAGGAGATATCAGGGCTCTCCAATGACGGTGGGGTGTGGGGACCCAGTTACTAGGCACAGCCTCTTGTTTCCCTGCCTATGAAATGGGGCTTGTGGGGTGTGGATGGCTGGTGCAGGTGTTCAGTGGGCGCTAGCCGAACGGGGAAAATCGAAGGGGCAGTGGCTGAGGGCTCGCACCTGCAGAACAGCGCCTGGCAGGTGTCCTGGAACGGCTGCAGCACCGCAGGGGGCGGCGGCCAGACGAGGTCTCGGCCGTAGTGGGGGGGCTGCCTCGCGGCCTGGAACCGCCTCTGCAGCTCTGCCAGGTGAGCGCGCACCTTGTGCCTCCGGAACCAGCGCATGACGGTGTAGATGGCCCGCAGCCGCCGGCAGCGCCGCCTGGCCAGCGTGCCGCGCCAGGCCTGGGGGGCCAGCCGGGCCTCCGTCAGTCCCGGCCAGGCCCCGCCTCCCTCCTTGTTTCCCTCCCCGCCCCCGCGGCCGGCCCGCCTCCTCCACCCTCAGCCCGGCGCTGCGCCAGGCTGACCTGCCCAAGACTCCTGGGGGCCGCCTCCACCTGGCTGCAGGTCGCTTCCCAGGCGGGCACAGGGCCCTGCTGCAGCCTCTGCCTGACTCAGGGCAGAGCTGCTCTCCCCACTCCATGTCCTTCCACCTGGCACCTGCAGATGGGGGTGCTTTCCCCTCCGCCAGGGGTAGCTGCCAACTGTCACCTGGAACCCGAGCTGGCCCAGGTCTGACCTCCAACTCGTAGACGCCCTGACATGGAAGAGTACCCCAAGAATGCAACCATTAAAACCCAGAGCGGGAGCCCTGCACGGCAGGCAGCCCAGGGGACCCACAGATGAAAGTACACTTAAGGAACCTGACTCAGACCAAGGAGAGGACAGCAGTGTGGACAGTCCTGGAGACGGTGGGGCCGCGAGGACCCAGTGTGAGCATCCCAAGTTCCATCTCTGTGACCATGGCATGGTGTCACGTTCCTAAAACCAACCCCTCCATGTTAGGGGAGTAGCAAAGCTCACAGCTAAATGCAGTGTGTCGCCATGGGTAATAGTGGGATGCTTGTGGAAATTCGAATACAGGCGGCATATTATTCAGATACGTAGATTATGTCTTGTTGGTGTTAGGTTTCTCGTCTGCTGACCTCAGCGTGTTCAGAAAAGGGAACGTACTTGTCCTTGAGACATGTGTGCTGAAATATTGAGGGGGGCCGTTACTTTAGAAAATCATATAAACGTAGGTGTATGTGGGTGTGGGGACAGACAGACACACAGAGATGGGGTGGGGAGAGCACACGATTATAGCAATTCAGGTGGATGGTAAATCATCATAGGCATCTTTTGACTTTTCAGTAGGTTTGAAATGTTAAAAATAAAAAGTTAGGGGGAGAGATGGAGGAATTCCGGTCCTTTGGGAATACTTACTAAAATGACTCTAAACAAAATGATTTGATGGGGTGCCTGCAGGGCTCAGTCAGTTAAGTGTCCGACTCTTGATTTCGGCTCAGGTCATGATCTCAGGGCCGTGAGAGTGAGCCCAAGTCAGTGCTCAGCGGAGAGTCCGCTTGGTATTCTCTCTCCCTCCCCCTCAGCCCATCCCCAGCTCACATGCTCATGGTCTCTCTCCAAAATGAATAAATCTTTTAAAAAATGATTTGCTTAAAAATAACTGGGATGGGCTGCAGGTGTCTGCACAAAACCACACACTGGTCACAGGGTGGCACAGCTGATGCTGGGGAGTAGGAGGGGGAATTATCTCTAGGTCTGATATCTTTCAGAGTCAAGAGAAGAAAAGAAGGGAAAAGATAAGGAAGGGGGATGCCTGGGGGGCTCAGTTGGTTAAGCATCTGCCTTTGGCTCAGGTTATGATCTCGGGGTCCTGGGATAGAGCCACACATCAGGCTCCCTGCTCAGCGGGGAGCCTGCTTCTCCCTCTCCCTCTGCCACTCCCCCTGCGTGTGTTCTCTCAAATAAACAAAATCTGAAAGAAAGAAAAAGAAAGAAAGAAAGAAAGAAAGAAAGAAAGAAAGAAAGAAAGAAAGAAAGAAAGAAAGAAAAGGAAAAAGAAAAAAGAAAAGAAGGAAAAGGAAGGAAGCCAGATTCCTGAAAATCATATTTTGAGCACCTGGATCCACCTGGGCCTGAAGCTGATGACCACGGACTGAGGTAAACTAACCACATCCACACCTTTTGCTTAAGTCAATTTCAGTCCTGGTCCATCTCCTGTCAGAGGAGATTCCTGTGGTGCCTGGAGGGGTGCCTGTGGGCCCCGTTGGTGCATGCACACCCCCCACTCCAGGGGGGGCACACCCCTCCCTCCCCTCCCCGCCATGGGTACACCCATCCCCCCTCCCCCTCCGCGGTGGGTAGGCATCCAGCCAGGGCGCACCTTCTGCAGCAGCAGCACGATGATGGGGATGAGGCGTGCGCGGCTCTGCTCCAGCTTGACCAGAGTCTGGGGCGAGCGGATGAAGAGCTTGGTGTGGCCGAAGGCCACGTCCCCTTGCAGCCCATGCTGCTCCAGGAGGGCACTGACGGCTGCCCTGTCAGAGCCCAGCAGGTGATTGGGCCACGTGTACTCACAGGTCATCTTGTACCTGTCACCGCAGGACAGGGCAGTGGGCACTGAGCTCTGGGTTCGACACGCCCAGCACCTGCCCACCCCGTCCCCTGGGTCACACAGCGTCTTCGCTGTCCGTGCTGCGCGGGTCTGCATCTGAGAAGCACTGGCCGGGTTTGGGACCCTCTGCCCACCCGCCCGACTCCTCACAGGATCCTGGGCCATGGGGGACAGACAGGTGGGGAGATGGAGCTCCGGGGTAGCAGGGCGCGGTACCTGAGCAGGAATCGAGGGTAGGGCTGGCGGGAAGCGAAGCCAGCCCTCCGCACCCGCACATTCTCCAGCAGCCCCAGGTACACGACCTGGTGGCGACAGTGGTCCTCGTCCAGCCTGGCAGCCATCTTGTCCTCATTGGGCTTGATGCAGCGGACATAGAAGGGCTCCTAGCACAACAGAGGACACGCAGGGACACCACCATCAGCCTCTGTGGCCGCAGGGCAGGTGTGGAGCTGTCCCTCCCTGCCGGCTGCCCAGGGAAGAGGCTCTTGCAGGGGGGAGGGGAGGCCGAGCGGCTGGGTCAGGAGGTGGTAGGGCAGCCGGGAGCCCTGCCGCCTGCAGGGGCCCCGCTGAGTCTCCAGATGTTCTGTGGTTAAGCGGGCTCTGGTGTCCCCCTGCTGCCCCCCCTCTGTCTTTGCGCCCCAAGCTCCGCAAGCAGCTAGCGCCGCCTTCCTGCCCTGTGAGCCCCGCCCAGCCCCTTCCTGCCCAAGAGGCCGGGAGGACAGGGGAAGGCTGTTCAAATCTCACATTTACTCAAGCCTCAGCCTGACCCAGGACATCTTAACTTGCACGGTGGTGGGTTCCTCCTGGCTGGGGTGGGGGTGGGGATGCAGCTCACAGCAGGCAGGAAATGAACACCACCTTCCCCCTGATGTGCAGAGGCGGTGGGGGCCCAGTTTGCCGGCCAGAACCTGGAAAGATCCGGGGTGGGGGCGGGGGCGGGGGGAGTACCTTGGAGGCCAGGTTTTCTACCAGAGCCACCATGGAGTTCTTGAAGAGCGTGCCAGCCGTCAGGGGGCGCTTGGTCACTTCTGTGATGTCCTGCTGCCCGTCCGGCCACATGGCCCGCAGGGTGGGGTCTGAGCTGTAGACACAGGCCACACAGCTAGCCGCCCTCTGGAGGGCAGCCCTCGCCCCAGCTCTGCCACTGGTAAGCTCTGTGGCCTTAGTGTTAAACCTCAGGCTGTCAGCCCATCAGACAGGTGTCAGACCCGAGTGTATGAAGGCCCTTCCGGCCTCGGGCCCCCACGCACCTGTTGTACATCAGCCGCTTGAAGTCTTGGAAGAGGTGGTCTCTGTTCTTGTCGATGAAGCCCTCCACCGAGTACCTGTGCGGCCAGGGCTGGTGAGGGGCAAGGGGCCTCGGACAGGCCCAGGAAGCCCCTCACCCCCCTCTCCTGCCTCTGTTCTCTTAGGCTAGCCTCCCTGCCTCCGCTCCCACACCCGCTTTCTTTCTCAGCACCTAAGACTCCTTCCCTCACCGGTGTCTCTGCTCATGCCCACCGCACTGGACCCCGGCTCTAGCGCATTCGTGCTGGGTGGCCTGGGACCAGGGACTTCACCTGTCTGTGCCCCAGTATACATCCCAGGCCCAGATCAGTGCCTACTGTTTCCGTCAGTGTCGGTGATGGTAGTTATACCCAGGAACTCCCGAGGCAGTGGTCTGCTCTGATTCTGTGGCACTGACAACCTCAGGTTCCTTGTCTGGCCCTTCGATGACAAAAGGCTAGGAGGCTCAGTTCCAAAATCTCCCTGCACCTGCCGCTCCCGTGCAGACTCAGGGCAAGGGGTCTGACCTCTGGCGGCACTGTCCTCCCCACTTGTCCTTGTGAAGGACACATTAGACACGTGTGCCTCCGTGAGTCACCTCAAGTCCCACTCAGGACGAAGGGAGCACAGGTCAGTTAGTAATAATGTCACGGAGATTTCTGAAGGATTCCTGAGGTTGGTCCTGAGGGTGTGCCCCCAGGATGGGCACCGTGTGCCTGGGGCTTGCTGGAAATGCAGACTGTGGCCTGTCTGCCCCCTCCGCTAACCGCACCTCCGTAATAGCGTGCCCCTCCCCCAGGCATTGCCCAAAGTGGAGCCTAGATAGGGCATTTTTGAAAGCTTCCAGAGGCTTCTACGGTGCAGCCGGGGCCGAGGGCTCTGATCTTAAAAGCGCCACTGCCTGCTTTCCACTCATCAATCTGGTGTCAGGCGCGTCTTCAGCGCGCTAAGAAGGGGAGGGCTCCTTACGTGACGTCCCCCGCATAGTGCTTGATCCGGAAGTCTCGGCCAAACTCCATGGTCTTGTCTGTAGGGCAGAGCTAGGGAATGGGGTGGCGCGCCAGGGTCACGGCACAGGGCGGAGGTCTGTGCAGGGCACAGTCCTGGAGAGGCCGGGCCACCGAGGCCGCGCCGAGACCGGCCGCGCGGTGCCTGGGAGGGGTGGGGGGTGCGGCCCCGGGACCAGCTGGGGGCGGGGCTTGGGGTGGGGGGTGCGGCCCCGGGGCCAGCTGGGGGCGGGGCTTGGGGCGCGCGCCGGGGGCCGCGGAGCACCTGGCGGCTGGCGTAGTGCGGGTGGTGGCGGTGGTGCGTGTCCAGGCTCTGCAGGAAGATGCGGTCGGTGATGGTGCCCGCGGCGCTGCAGGCCTCGTCCAGCACGGCCAGCACGCCGCGGTGGGGCCGCTCCACCAGCTCCACGATGGTGGCGTTGTTGAAGTAGTCCACCTGGGCGGGGCGTGCAGGGCGGCTCCCAGTCTGCCCGCCGGCCACCCCGCGTGCACCCCGCGGCCCTCGCGGCCCAGGCCGGCACTCACGCTCTGCCAGGCGATGCCCTCCCGCTCGTACTCCTCCTGCTCCTGCTTCAGGATGAGCTGGATGAAGAGCTGCTGCAGCTTCTCGTTGCAGTAGTTGATGCAGAACTGCTCGAAGCTGCGGGCGGGCGCAGGGGCCGCACGGTCACGCCCTGCCGCCCGGCTTGGGGGCTTGGGGGCTTGGGGGCTCAGGCTCCGTGCGGAGCGCGTGCGTCGGGGGCAGGCCCCTCCCCCCGGAGCCCGACGGCAGGGGTGATTCTCCCCCTCCAGTCCCACCGCGGGCACGCATGCTCCCCAGTGGATTTGGGGGTCGTGGCCATGGGACGTGAGCCCCCAGTTTTGCCTCCGTGGGCACCGCTGGCCGGGTGGCACAGCTGAGGCAGGCTCGGGGGCCTGAGCCCGGGGCCAGGGACTGGCCGGGACAGACGCCGGACGTCGGGCTCCCCAGGCCAGCGGAGCTCCGCGGGACCAAGGAGGCCCTGGGGGCTGGGGTCAGAGCCGGGGACGTGGTGGTCGGGCTCCCCACCTGTTGACAGGGAACACCTCAAAGCCATAGATGTCCAGCACACCGATGACCGTGTCCTTGCCGTCTCGCCGGGGGTCCCGGCCCCGGGTTTCCATGACACCGTTGATCCGGTTCACCACCCACTCAAACAGCCGCTGGTACACTGCCTGGGAAGAGGCCGGGATCCAGCTACTTCCGGCTGCCTCCATCGTCGCCTCCTCCAGGAAGGCCCCCTGGGTGTCCCCGCCTCGCTCCCCACAGCCTGCCCCCAGAGGACCTTGGCGCAGGCGTCCCGGGCATAGCTGGCCTCCGCCGCAGTGTGGCCCTTCTCAATGAGTTCCCTGCCTCCGGAGGCCACCGTACGAGACAGCAGGCAGCGCAGCACCAAGTCCCGGGGCGTGGCCGTCAGCTCGGCCACATGGTCCACCAGCAGCTCCTCAGCCACGGCCAGGTGCCCCTGCTCCGGCCCGGCCGCCTCCGTCTCCACAAACTCGATGTTTCCCTGGGGACGGGGAGCCAGGACAGTCAGGTTCCACGTCCCAGTGGAGCTTGCCTGCACACCTCTGCCCAGGGAGAAGGAAGGAAAGACAGGGCTGGGGGTGTGGCAGGGCCTGGCTCCTGCCACCGACGCAGCCCTGGATGCGGGAACTGCCCCTGGAGCGCAGCAGAGCCTTCTCCAAGGCTTCCTGCCCAGAACATCAGGTCCGTGGTCCCCTGCCGTCGCCTGCGGCTGCGATGCCCCCCCTGCTCCTCAGGCCGCCTCACAGGGAATGGAGGCCCGGACGTGCTGAGGAACTGTCCAAAGCCAGCCAGACCGCATCTGCACAATGTCAGCGCTACTGAGCCTGCCCTTCCGGGCCTGCTCTGTGCGGGCTCATCCGCTAGACAGACGCGGCATGTTACAGGCCTGACCCGCCCGTCTGGGCACACAGAGCCCCCAGCTCCGGGCCCGGCCTCCGGGAGCCATGCACTCAGCCCCTTGGAGGGCAGGATGGGCCCGCTATGTGGCTGGGCCGTCCGAGGTCAGTCTCCTTCTCCAGGGGCGGTGGCCCCGCAGCCCCCGGCCAGGCTCACCAGGTGCAGTATGGCCGCCAGGATCCGGTGCACAGAGCCCACTTCCTCAGCACTGAAGCCGATCACCCGCATGGCTTCCATCACTGCCAGGTAGTGGCTCCTCTCGTCGCTCTCCAAGGCCTGCAGGACGAGGGGCTCAGCACCCCAGGGCCACGCAGAGCCCCCGGGGTCCTCCCAGGGAGTGCCTGTTACATTGGGGCGCCAGCAATCCTGCTGAGCGCCCGCACCCAGGACCCCGGAAGGCGGAGCCCTGCCCCCACTCACACTGAGCCCTGCGCCCTGCCGAGTGAAGTTGTACACGGCCGGGTTCCTCTGCAGGTGCAGGTTCCGCAGCTCTGCGTCCTCACAGCCCCGCAGCACCTGGGGGCCCGCAGATCCCTGGCTCAGGCCCTCAGAACTGCAAAGACCCCCCAAAACATGCCGGAGGACTGACCCAGGGGAGCTTAGTGCTGGTGTGGACACCGCCTGAATCCTGGCAGACGCCATCTCACCCAGTGTAGACACCACCCTGCTGGTGACCTGGCAGATCCCCCTCCAGTGAGGGCGGGGGGCTGGGGGTGTCACGGCAGGGAGGGGGGAAAGGGACTGAGGGCGGGGCCATCGGAAGGGCTTCCTGGGTGCCCCCACACCCCTGCTTTGGTTCACCTGGTAGAAGGCATGGAAGTTCCGTTCACCCACGTGCTGCTTGAGGACTCGAGACTGTGGAGGGAGGGGCAGATGGGCCCCTGCCTGGGTTGCAGCACCACCCAGGGGACCCCACCCAGGGGAGCTACCCAGGGGACCCACCCAGAGCCCCTTGGGCGGTGCAGGCGGAGCCTGGGACCTCAGAGGAAGTGTGTCCCCGCCCCCTCCCCGGGGCCCCAAGCCTGGGAGGGTCAGCGGGAGGCCTGTGGCCTCAGGACCCACCTTCTCCAGCAGGTAGCTGTGGATGTGACCCCCGATGGGGTCCCCTTTAAAGTCGAAGTTGATGTCCATGTACTTGCCGAAGCGGCTGGAGTTGTGGTTGCGGTTGGTGCGCGCGTTCCCGAAGGCCTCCAGCACGCACGTGGACTTGAGCAACACGTCCTTGACCCTGTGCGGGGCAGAGGGGCCGGGCTGTAGGGCACAGACCTCGTCCAGGGACTGTGCCTGCCCAGCACCCCTGCCCGAGGCCTCCCATGGCGCAGGCTGCGGACCGGCTGGGAAGGCCCCCTGCCCGGTGCTGTGCCCGGTGTGGCGAGAAGGGCAGCTCCTCACCTGGGCGTGCTGCCACCTGCAGAGAGGAGCTGGAGCTGCACACGGCTCTCCACCTCCCGTGGCAGGGTGGGCAGCGGCCAGCCGCCGGTGCCCCCCGCCCCTGGAACCCCACCCTGCCCCTCCCGACGGGAAGAGCTGGGCGCTCACACAGGAAGCTGCTCCACGAGGCCCCACTGGTAACAGCCGGTGAGCAGCTGGTGAGGAGGCGGACAGGCGGGCCCTGATCCAGGTCCAGGCCCTTCCTGACCATCTGCCCAGCTTCTCCCTTCCGTGGGGTCTCCTGTGAGGGGCCCAGCCCCCGTCTGTTGGCTCCGTGCACCTTGCCTCTTCCCTCTTCCTAGTGGCGCCCTGCCCCGTGGCACGGGGCCCTGCCTCTGCTGGGTGGACGGGTTCTGGGCGGGTCACCTGGAGCCCTCCTGCAGAGGAGCCCTCTGAACTTGGCCTGAGCCAGGCTGACTTCCATCCCTTGCCCCTCCGGGCCTCAGGCCCAGGGCCGCCCCTGCGCCAGTCCGGCCTGCTCTCACCTGTCCACCTCGGCCCTCTGGCTGGGGTTGGTGACAGCGGCGATGTACTGCATGATGTGCTTGCTGGCTTCCGTCTTCCCTGCCCCACTCTCCCCTGCCGGGCAGACGGTGCTCAACCAGAAAGAGTGGCCACTCCCCTTGACCAGCCCCCTGGGCGCCCCCTCCAGTGGGGTCTGTGGAGGCTGCCCGGGCCCCCGCCACCGGACAGGTACCTGAGATGACGATGCAGGTGTCCCTGGAGCGGCGCTTCATTGCCCCGTAGGCGGCATTGGCCACAGCATAGAGGTGTGGTGGCCGCTCATAGAGCTCGCGGCCCTGGTACTTGGCGATGGCCTCAGGCCCATACAGGGGCAGCTCCTGGTAGGGGTTCACGGACACCAGCACCTCGCCGATGTAGGTGTAGATGCGGCCCTTCTGGAACCTGGCACAGGCGGGGCCAGGCCTCAGCGCTCAGGGCTGTGGGGACGCCCACCCAGGTGCTGGGGCGTTGGGCCCATGTGGGGAGCCTCGGGGGCCCTGGCCCACCCCAGGGCTGAGAGTAGGAAGGAGTGCGGGTTGACCTGACCCTTCCCAGTGCCATCTTGCTGGAATCCCACCCCCACTGCAGGGTAGTGCTAGGGCCGACGCTGCTCCCTGGGGGGGCGGGGGGGGATCCTGACAGCACAGGAATCTCCACCACCAGATTTATGAAGGGATAGGTAGAGCTAAGGGGTGGAGGTGGAGAGGAGAAAGGGGCTGGAGGCCGAGGGAGGGGCCTCGGGCTGTTTCCTGTCTTGAGGCCTGGGTGGGGACCCAGAGGCAGCAGGGGACCCGCCCAGCCCCACCCAGATGGCTGGGACTAGGAGGGGCTCAGGGAGGGGGCCTGGGGATGCCGGAGCCGTCCTCCCCCCGCACATCCTCCTGCTTCTCAACCCTTCCTTTTGGGAACTCAGGCTCCTGGACCTCTGTCTGCCCCTCTCTTGAGCTTTTGGCCAGCCAGCTCAGCTCCTGCTTTGTCTGGGACCCGCCCTTCCCTGGCAGCTTGTAGTCCGTCCCCCGTCAGTCAGGGGTTCCTCTTCCTCCGCTGCCACTTCAGACGAGGGAGTTCCCCCGGCGCGCTCCCTCCACACCTTCTCTCATCTGCCCCCCGCCTGCCCCCCTGCACGCTGTGTGGCCTGGGCTCAGTGCTTCACTGTTAAAACGGACACGGTCATGCCTGTCTCACAGGCTAGTGTAGAAGAACGACATGAAATTATGCTTAGCTTGGTGCCCCATACAAAATAGCCCATTTCCTGTCCTCTAACCTCAACAGTGTGCTCAGGGGGCCCCATCCCCTAACCCTGCACAGCAGCCGCCCTGTCCTCCCGCGGGCTGTCCAGGATGAAGCCATCCAGCTGTCCAGCTCCTGGGGGCCACCCCATCTCACCATTCCCTGGCTCCTCCAGGGCAATCAGACCCCATGTCACTTCTACCGGCCACGCCCTGTGGCACCCCATGCACCTCCCCCCCAGTGTCATCTCAGCTTGTCCACCTGCACCCCGGGACAGCGCTTGCCCCCTTCCCTGAGAGCCCCAGGGCCCAGCACGACCCCCAGCGGCAGATGGACAGTGCACCCAGTCAGGGGGACGGGCACCTGCCTGTCCCTGCTGGGCAGGAGGAGCAGAAGACACCCAGGCCATGTGGGAGGCAGGGGTCCGGGAAGCCCTCTCCAGCACTGGCTGGCCGCCCTGGCCTTGGGAGGACTGTCCTCTCGGCCCCCCCGCCAGGACCCCCTGCCGTCATTCATACAGTGGTGCGGTGGTCCAGGTGGGTGTGTGTGTAGCCCCACCTCCCGCCCCTACCCTGGGCTGATGGAGACCAGTGAGCCTGGGGGCCCGGGAGAGGACGTCAGAGCCCTGTGTCTACCTGAGCTTGAGGTTCTCCATGAAGTCCTCCATGGTCACTTGGTCCAAAAGCACAAAGTCGGGTTTGCCGCACTCCGGCCCTTCCTCGTCCATCCTGCTGTCGGGAGGCACCCAGGCCAGGTTAGCCCGGCCTTCCTGTGCACAAGGGTGGAGGGGAGGGTGCTCCGAGCAGGCTCAGCCCTCCGGGCCACCTCCGAGCTGTGCGGTGAAGTAGGAAGTGGGTTCTGGTCCCGGGGAGGGGCTGCCCTCCCCACTTGCCGCTCCCTCCCGAGGGGCTCTGACCCCGGCTTCCTGGTTCCCGCACCCAGAGGGCGGGCACGCCTGACAGTGAGCCGGGTGCTCTGGAGGGTTCCTGTTGGCTTCCTCAGTAAGCTCTGACCCTCTGTGGTCTCCGTGCCTACCCCTCACCCCAAGCAGGGGCGTCACCTGTGTGGCCTGATGCCGTCACGGCTCTATCAAACCTCTGTTAACAGCCCGAGCTGCACACTAGGTGCATCTTCGGCTAGGTACCTTGTATCTTGATTAAAAAGTGGGAAATGCTGGTGCCCAGGCCTTTGGGGCGGGGCCTCGGGTAACATTCTTCAAAATGTGCAAGACCACAGCAGGATGTAAATGACAAAACCAGCTTCACGTCACACTGCACTGCAGGGCTGGCGGTCTGGTTCCTCAGACTGAGATTCGGAGTCGGGCGGCAGGCCCAGACCTCCGCATGTTGCCCAGAAGGCTGTCCCTGAGGTCCCCGCCTGTCCCACCTGGTTCCTCACAGCACCGTTAGAAGCCGCAGACTGGCTGGCTCAGGTTTGTCTCCAGACAGCCTCCTTGACCCCATGGCATCCTCCAGGCGGGCAGTTCTCTCTCAACCCCTCCCCCACCAGCCGGGGAGGCCAGAGTATTTGCCAAAAGTGAGTCATCCACACGCTGCCTGGGGGTTTCTGTACTCAAGAGGCTCTTGTAATAATTGCCTTTCAACAAGCTCGCTTTTTAAACTGAAAAAATTGACACGCAAGTTAAGGTTTTTGTTTTACCCTTTCAAATTCATTAGGATGAATACATACCCAGTAAGATTGGGAAGTGCTTATTCAAAAGCCTCATAATCCAGGCCCGCGCCCTTGTGCACCATCCCAAGGGGCTGTTGGCCTGACCGTTCCCTCAGGATTCATTCATCCTCCCAGCTCTGGGGATCCCCTCTGCAACCCCCTCTGGGGCTGGTGCTTTTGAAGGGCTTTTCTACACCAACGCTCCGGAGAATCTGGTCCCGGGTTTTTTTTTTTTTTTTTTTAAGATTTTATTTATTTATTTGACAGAGAGAGACACAGCGAGAGAGGGAACACAAGCAGGGGGAGCGGGAGAGGGAGAAACAGGCTTCCCGCTGAGCAGGGAGCCCGATGTGGGGCTAGATCCCGGGACGCTGGGATCATGACCCGAGCCGAAGGCAGACGCTCAACGACTGAGCCACCCAGGCGCCCCTGGTCCCGGGGTTTTACTTCCTCAACCTCTCAACCCATGGGTTCCTCTAGCCCAGGGTTTAAATTAAAAGAACAACTCAGCCCGTGCTCTGAAACTGCAACTTGATAGGATTTTCACGTCACTGGATAGTTTTGGGTTTTTCCTGGTAGAAATGTCAAGACCGTTCTGAGGTTGGGGATTTGGCCCCTGGGCGGGCCTTGCTGTTGGGCTTTAGCCCCTGCCACCGTGACCTTGAGCCTAACTGTGGGGTCTGCACCTAGGACTTACGGCCCATGCCTCCTTTGTCCCAAGGCTGGGAGAACATTGCATGTCTTTTCCCTGCCTGGTCTGTCTCCCCTCCTCTTGGGTGGGACAAACCCCTTGGAGGATTTCAGTTGGGGCACCAAGCAGGAGGGCAGGGGGCTGCTGGGGACCCCACCCTGGCCCCTGCTGATGCCAAGCCCCCTCCAGTTGCCCTGCTCACTGAAGACTCAGGTCCAGCTCATCTCAGGACATGCAGAACTGCAGGTTGCTGCAGGGAAGGGCCCCACCAGGGCACCTCGGAGGCCACCTCCCGCTCTTCCCATCAGGGTATGTGTATGTGTGTTGGGGGTGCAGCTGCCATGACATCAGGAACAAACCGAATGTAAAAGTGTCCGGCTGTGCCTGGATGTGTTACTTTTCAAATGAAGCCAACCGGGCATGTACATCACTCCCACACGGACACACTTGTGTGTGCCCACGTGTGAAGGTGAGCCTCGCTCCCAAGTCTGACCTGCACTAGCGAGGAGGACAAGAGGCAGACGAGCCTGTCAGGCAGCAGAACCCATCCAGGATCCCCAGGGCAAGCTCCCGATGGCAGGTGTTGGTAGTCCATCACCTACTCGGCACTCTGCAAACACCTGGGCATCAAGCAAGGAGACACCTCGGGGCTGAAGGAGTTTGGCCGCCACTCCCTTCACGGCCAGGGCTCCTTGTATCTAGCTCACGGAAAGGAGACACAAGCCAATCGCAGCACACGCTGAAAAGACTGTTTATTAACCACCCCTTGTTTCCCGCACAGAAGGACAGAGGGGCCTGGGCCCCGACGCACAGCAAGAATCCTCGTTTCCGGAGCACTGTGGCACCCAAACCTGGGGGCAGAGAAACGTCAGTCAGATGTGCACACCAGGCCCTGAGCTGCCCACTCCCCAGCCTGGGCCCGAACCGGAAACCCCCCTCTCCTCCCTGAACGGGAGCCGGTGAGGACGCATACCTGCTTAGACAGAAGGGGGCACGAGAGCCGCTCAAACCCAGCTGCACCCTCACGGGGCATGTCCGTGTGCAGGCCACACCCCAGGGTCCACTTCCTCAGGCATGAGGAGGAGGCACGTGGAAACAGCTTGGAGGCTGGCTGTGAAATCAAGTGACGTGAGCACACAGCCAGGGACTAAACACTGGCTGCCACAGAGAGACAGAAAGGAACTAAATAAAAGGAACTGAACCCGATCGCCCTCCTGACCCCACAGTGGGCTGAGGTCTCTGTGACGGGACGTGGCAGCAGCCTGACCTTCCCAGGCCAACACACCACTGACCCAGCAGGGTCCTGGGGAAAAGGCTGCAGGTGAAATCCAAAACCACAGAGTCCACCAATGCTGGGCCCCAGGAGTCCAGGTACTAGACCACTGCTGTGCAAAAACAGTCTCATGAGCTTGAAGGCAATGAACCTCTGGGACTCAATCACCTGACTTGAGATGGGAAGGCCAGAGCAAGTCGAGGGTTTTGAAATTCTTCTGGGGGCGGGGGCTCATGGAAATGAACAGAAGACAGGCCTCTGCAGCATACTTACTGCTGCAGACCCCAATCACCCCGCAGACACGGACCAGGCCACCTCTCGGCGCTCTCCAGGCTCTGGCACCTGGGGATTCCTGCTGCTGGAACAGCGGGGGAGGGCAGACACCACGTGTCCTGTGCTGGGGCAGGGACCCAGAGCAGAGCCTGCTGGGGTGGGGGGTGCCGGTCAGAAACGGACAAGGGTCTGATGTATACCCCCCCGACAAGGTAGCCCCCCAGTTTCAGGGATGCTGGCAGGGCACGTGAGGCTCTCCGATTAGAGACAAAGTTGATTCTTCCCACAGGGTGACACAGGGGAGCCAGGGGGCACCCAGCACATGCGGTGGCCGTGCGGTCCAGGAAAGCCAGACCTCTCCCAGCAGAGAGCAGGCCTGCTCTGGAGGGGGCATTACCTTGTCCATCTGGGGCTGTTTGCTACTCCAACATCCTTGAAAAGATGGGCCGAAGTTCAGCCAACGCCTTGCTCCCAGGACTGCAGACACAGGAGCCTCAGGGAGCGGCTCCCGAGTGCAGCTCACAGGCGGGTGTGTTCAGCGTCTGCACCTGGGCTGAAGAGGCAGACCCCAAGTTTGCCAGAAGCCTCGAGCGCGACGGAGATGTGGCGGGACCGGCCACCCAGAGGAGCCAAGAGCTACGCGGCCCTGCCTCGAGCATCCTGGCCCACCCCTGACCACACCCAGCGGCGCTCAAACCCAGGCAGGGACCCAAGGGCACCCCCTCCCACCTACGCTTCCCACCCGCTTCCAGATTCCACCGCTCCGTCCAGGTCAGGAATCTGGAAAGGAGCACAGGTGGGCCTGGAGGGGCCTGGCATTCCATCGCCACCTGCGATTTTCGGGCTGGGCGACCCCGGGCCCCTGTTCTGTACTGGACCGAGACCACCTCACGGCGGTGCTCAAAGACCTGAGCTGGGCGAAGAATGAAGGTTTAGGAGGTAGGACACAAGCAGGAGCGTCTTCCCCTGCCGAGCCCTCCCCGCGCGGCAGCCCTGCTTAGAACTTCCGAGCACCTGCCAGGCGAGTACTGAGAGGAAGAAGCCGAACTCGAAGGCCTACCGAGCTTCACCCATCGGTACGTGGCACGTGGCCACCAAACCGGACACGGACGCCTGTCTGAAATTTCTATAACCTTGCTCTGGACGGAGCAGGGCAAGGCCTCAAACCGTTTCAGGATGCTCTCGCAAGCACTGCAGGAATGCACAGGGTCACCCCAGACCCGAGCACGCTGGAGGCTTGCAGCCCACATGCCCCGGGCGCACAGCGGACCCTCGGCGCCGGGGGCTGAGCGGGAAGCGGTCGCGGGGCAGATCGGGCGGCCCTAGCGAGCGGGCCGGACGGCAGCAGCGCCCTTCCGCGGTGCCCCCGCGGCCCCGACACCCCGGGGCAGAAGCCCCTCGAGCCGCAAGCCCACGGGGTCCGCGTACGCCCAGCCATTACCCAGCGCGGCCTCTCCCTGCAGTCTTCCTGGCACGGAGGCCGCCGCTCCGCTCCTCCTCCGCAGCCGCGGGCCGGGCGAGTTCCGCGAGGGCTTCCCGCGCAGCCGGGGGCCGGGCACCGCCGCGAGGGGGGCAGGCGGTCAGCGCACGCCGCGGTCGGCCGACCCCGGGTCCCCGCCCCGGCGGCAGCCGCGACCCCGTCCCTCGGAAGCTCGGCCGGAGCGCACCCGGGGGCGGGCGCCGCCTGGAGCCCCGACGACCTCGGATGGCATCGGATGCCCGCGCCGCCCCCGGACGGCATCGGATGCCCGCGCCGCCCCGAAGCGGCCTGCCGCCGGAGACGCATGGAGCCCCCACGCACACCCGCGCGCTGCGTCATCACGCAGCCCCCGGAAGCCGGCCGCGGTGACGTCACGCGGGCGCCGGGCGCGCGCGCGACCGCAGGGAGGACGCGGGCGGAAGTCCCCTAACGGCGGAGCGGGGCCGGTCGGAGAGCCGGCTGCCGCGTTCACATCGGGGCGCGCGCCGCCGGGGCCTGCGCTGCGCTGCCGTCTGCGGACCAGTGCGCGTCCCTGGCGGCCCCGCTGGCGCCCGGTGTCCCGGCTGGTTCAGGGCCCCGCCCTCCGCGGGGCTGGGTTCGTCGAGCCCCGTCGGACAGCGAGGTTGCGCTCTGCCCGCGCATCCCTTTAGCGGGTTGCCCGGGATGCGCATCACTTTCTCGTTTAATAAAGGTATCTTCTTTTCTGCCTTTGTGGAGAGGTCGTCTGGCTGGGAGGAGAGCTGGGTTTTAATTCGACCCCCCCACCCCCGCCGGCGGAGGAACCCACAAGGGAAGGTATTGAAGCGGCAAAGGTGCAGCTTGTTGGAGACACAGTGGAGCGTTGCAGGGTGGCGGGGTGTTCTCCGAGAGGAGAGGTGGGCAAGGACTACACACTCAAGGGTCTTGAGTGTCAGGCTAGGAAGGCGAGCAGTACTTGAAACTCATTTCGCACCTGCTAAATTCATTCGAGCATTTTATTATTTTATTATTTATTTATTTATTTTTATAATTTTATTTATTTATTTGACAGAGAGAGAGACAGCGAGAGAGGGAACATGAGCAGGGGGACTGGGAGAGGGAGAAGCGGGCTTCCCGCGGAGCAGGGAGCCCGATGCGGGGCTCGATCCCAGGACCCTGGGATCATGACCTGAGCCGAAGGCAGACGCTTAACGACTGAGCCACCCAGGCACCCCCATTCGAGCATTTTAGAGTATACAAATCCAATTACATATTTTATTAAATCTCTTGAGACCGGGCAGGAATATTACTTCCAGATTGATAACATGGAAAATAACATTCAGCCAAAGAGGTTAACAAGGCTAGGGCTTGGTGCAGGTTGTTCTAGCTGACTTCAGTGCTGTTTGTCTCCCGACACTCTGCCATGAGATAAAGAGAACCAGGAAGGCACATGGTTATGGATTATGGAGGGCCAGGCTATGGCTGTGAGGGTGTATATTTGTGACCCAAAAAGTTGGGCTCCCCCAGGACTGAAAGAGAAGAGCTTTTTTCTTTTTCAAAGATACTCATTTATTTGACAAAGAGAGACATAGTGAGAGAGGGAACACAAGCAGGGCAGTGGGAGAGGGAGAAGCAAGCTTCCCGCTGAGCAAGGAGCCCGATGTGGGTCTCGATCCCAGGACCCCGGGATCATGACCTGAGCTGAAGGCAGACGCTTAACGACTGAGCCACCCAGGCACCCCTCTGAGTTGTTTTTTGACGCATGCCATGCAGCACTTCATACCACGCTGTGTCCATGATAAATCCAACGGGTTGACTTGCTTAATGAAGAAAAGAATTTTTTCAAACACTTTGAGTGAATTCTCAATGAATTTGTAACTTCTAGTTTCCAGGCCTATACATGATGAAGGGCCAAACCAGCTCTAGATTATAATGCCTCCTCAGAAGCACAGCCATGCTGTGTGGCCTCCTGTGGGAGACCCTGCGGGCTGTACTTTGGTGTTTCCTTGGCTGTAACTAGGTATTCTTCCAGAGCCAAATTGCTAATATTCTTTTCAGGCATATATCCCAGTTGGCTTGGAAGAATAATGGAGTTATTCTTTTGAGATGTGGATTTGGAGAAAGTTCTTTCCGATAGTCTGATAGTTAAGAACTGCTGAGAGGTCTGTCTCTGTCCATCTCATGCAGCCTCCCTGTACAATGCAACTGAGCTTTGATTATGCGGTTTTTGATATATATATATTTTAATCATTTTTTAAAAAGATTTTATTTATTTATTTGAGAGAGAGAGAATGAGAGAGAGCATGAGAGGGAGGAGGGTCAGAGGGAGAAGCAGACTCCCTGCCGAGCAGGGAGCCCGATGCAGGACTTGATCCCGGGACTCCAGGATCATGACCTGAGCCGAAGGCAGTCACTTAACCAACTGAGCCACCCAGGCACCCCGCGGTTTTTGATATTTTGGCACCCTTTCTTATTACTTGGAAAAAAATTTCCATGGAGCATCTTCCCATCTCTAATGAATTTTATTATCATTTTAGAAAAAAGCTCTTCTGGGGCGCCTGGGTGGCTCAGTCGTTAAGCATCTGCCTTCCGCTTGGTCATGATCTCAGGGTCCTGGGATCGAGTCCCACATCTGGCTCCCTGCTCGGTGGGAAGCCTGCTTCTTCCTCTCCTCCCTGCTTATGCTCTCTCTTGCTCTCTTGGTCACTATCTGTCTCTCTCTCTCAAATAAATAAATAAAATAAGATTTTATTTATTTATTTGAGAGAGAGAGAATGAGAGAGAGCATGAGAGCAAGAGAGAGCAACAACAACTCAGAGACATCTAGTTAGTTATTTGCTAGCTATTTTGTTCTCATGAGGGAGATAGTGGATGGGCGAGAGGGACAAGAAAGAAAACACTAAAGACTTCCCAGCCTTGGGAACAGGGAAAAGATTCACTAAAAACAAACAAACAACAACAACAACAACAAACCCCACACCAAGTAGTTGGAATCTAGCCAAGATGTGAGTTGGGGAAAACTATCTTTGAGCAGGCCAATTGAGGATAAATCTTCAGTTGTTCAGGGCTTTCTTGAAAACTCGAGTCTAGTGGGAAGGCATCTGTGTGAGACCCTGTCTAGGTAACCTCAGTGCCCTCCCATCTTAGTCTGGTCAGGTGTGTGTCATTTGTCTCGCTAGAACTTCTTGGATACAAAGAGGAATCCCACACAGTCTCTAAAGGACCTTACAGTCTAGTAGAGAAAATGTCCTAACATGGTTAACTCTAGCATCAGGACATGCAAAGAAAGTGCTCTGGGGCTGGAGGAGGGGAAAATTGCATCCAAAGATTTAGTGGAAGAGGTGATACTTGAGCTGGGTGAAAAAAACCAACAGGTCCACCAGGGACAAACCAGGCATCCAACAAAGTTTGGTTTATTAATCTGCTGCAAAGAGGGAACCCTAGAGAAATCTGGGTGTGTCTCATCATGAGAGTAGATAGGGAATTTTGTAAGATTTGGGATTGCACTGAATAATTCTTTTTTTTTTAAGATTATTTTTAAAAAAGATTTTATTTATTTGTCAGAGAGAGAGAGAGCGTGCACACAAGCGGGGCGGAGCGGCAGGCAGAGGGAAAAGCAGGCTCCCCACTGAGCAGGGAGCCCAATGCAGACTTGATCCCAGGACCCTGAGATCATGACCTGAACCGAAGGCAGACACTTAACGACTGAGCCACCCAGGCACCCCTGCACTGAATAATTCTGAGGAGGAGAAGTGAGGGTCAGCTTTAGATCCTTGCTGTCATGAAGTGCAGACAACTTAGTAATTGGGTCTCAGTCTTTTTTGGGGGGAGGGGCAGAGGGAGAGACACTCTCAGGCAGACTGCCCGCTGAGCTTGGAGCCTGTTGCAGGGCTCGATCTCATGACCCTGAGATCATGATGTGAGCTGAAACCAAGAGTCAGATGCTCAACCGACTGAGCCACCCAGGCACCCCGGGCCCAGTCATTTTTGTTCATGAGCTGGGGCCACAGAGGGGGCTCTAGCAAGAAGAAGGAGGCCCTCAGGACACTTTACAGCTGAGGTGCGACCTTGGGAGAAATGCTGTTTTCCATTAACCCTGCAGCTGCCTCATCAGTGTTGATTCTGAGAAACTGAATATACACCTGGACAGTGGCCAGACCATTTATAGAAATAGGCCCATGACCTGCTGTGGCTTGCCCAGAAACCAAACCCACCTCCACAGAAGCCTGCCCAGGAAGCTGACTGCTGGAATTCAGACTGCTGTGTCTAGTGACGACCAGGAAGCCACACAATGCCCCATCACAATCCACATAAGCCAGATGTACCAGCACTCGGTCAACAATTGACATCTTACCTACTTTTGTTCCCTGTTCCAACTCAGAGAACAATAAACACATGGGATGCCCCACGTCTACTTAGCTTACCTCTAGCTCCCTCAGGCCCACAGCCCCCATTAGGGCACCCCTGAGTCCCCCTTTTTCTGCCATGAATCTCTCCCCATCTCTGCCTGCCTTTGGGCCTCTGCCAAACCAAGGGAGGCAGTGACTCCCTCATTATAGCAGGCTCTGGACAAATAGCCTTTGCTTGTTTTCATTGGTTGGTGCTCGTTATTTCCCCAATAGTATGGGGGTGCAAAGAGCTCCTGGGTTGGTGAGCACGTGGAGGTACTGGTAGAATAGCGTACCCCGAGGGGCATGGAAGCTCCATGTGCCCTTCTCTACACCTTGCCCTCGGTATCTCTTCCATCAGGATGTTTCCCTGTACCCTTTATCATGTCCTTTTATAATAAATCGATAAACAGTAAACTCTTCTCCCGAGTTCTGTGAGCCGCTCTAGCAGGTTCATTGAACCCAAGGGAGGATCATGGGAACCCCGATTCATAGCCCATTAGTCCGAAGCACAGGTAACAACTTGGACTTGCTGTAGGCATCTGAAGTGTGTGTGTGGGGGGGTTCTTGTGGGACTGAGCCCTCAACCTGTGGGATCCAATGCCATCTCTGGGTAGATGGTGCCAGAGTGAGTTAAAGTGTGGGACACCCAGCTGATGTCACAGAATTGCTTGGTGTGGGGAAAACCCTCACACATCTGGTATCGGAAGTGTTGAGGGAGTGCTAGCCATGTAAGAGGAAAGGAGACACAGGAGGAGAGTGGGCTTTTCCTAAAACACAGGCTAAGGGGAGTTAGTAGTGTTCTTGGCTGCACTGCCGAGTGAGAAATATGTACATGAGTGGGAGACCCGGACTATCAGGCCTTCGTGCTGTGGTGGGAGACTAAAGACCAGATGCACTGCCTCGTTTGTGTGCGGGGATGTTGCTGCTAAATGAGTGCAGACGGTAGAGTGAAAGATAATTTCCCCCACCTCTGCTTGATGTGCCGAAGGGGCTGGAATACCTTTGGGGGTGCTTGAGACTATCAAATAGGGCCCAATCAGAAGACAGAAACAGGGTACAGGAAAGGTTGACTATAAAGAATTGTTAAGTATACTAGGGGGTTGGGGTAACAAGGGATTGGCTAGTAAAAGGAAAGAAAACTCTGAAGAATACGAGATTCTGCAGGTGCCTGCCAAGGGAACTCCCTGGAGCCAGGCAGCAAAGCCCTCTCCTCCTGCACTGCCTCCCAGCGGTTCCTTTTGCACAGCTCTGGGACCCCGGGCCACCTGGCGAGGGAGGGATGCTCAGAGGGCCTGGCTCCATCCGGCAGCGCAGGAAATGAGTCCGCGCGGGAGCTGGAGATAATACACTCACCACCGGCACAGGAGCCAACACTTTAAAACCTAAGTCGAGACGAGTACCCGTTCACATGCCAGCTACGCTGCAAGGTTCTTACCGGTAGCTTGGCTTAGTGGCAAAACCGTGCCCGGCTGCTGCTGACTCCAACCCGCAGGGTGGCCGGCAACCCGCCGGACTGTCTGGCCTCGGCTGTAAAAGGCGGGGCCGCGATCCCGGTCACTGTTAAGGTGCTACGTTTCGTTCAGACAGAGCCCAGGCGTTGCTTGTCACAGCCTTTCCGCCTTCCTCAGGGTTTGAGTAACACAGGCGCTGGAGAGGAGGAAGTCTCAGAAAGGGGCTTCATTGAGACCCTGGGAATGAAGGGGCAAATTGAGAAAGAGAAAGGGAGGTGGCTTCGCCCCGCAGGCCCCGCCCCACCCACTGGCCACGCCCCAGAGCCCCTCCTCCACCAATATGCAGGCCCCGCCCTCACCTTCCTGCCGGCCCCGCCCCCATCCTCATCCGGTCCTCACCTTCCCGGGGCCCCGTTCCACCCGGCCGGGCGCTCTTCTCCTCACTGGCCCCGCCCCATCTCACAGGCCCCGCCCTCACCTTCCTGCCGGCCCCGTCCCACCCCGCCGGGCCCTCTTCTCCTCACTGGCCCCGCCCCATCTCACAGGCCCCGCCCTCACCTTCCTGCCGGCCCCGTCCCACCCCGCCGGGCCCTCTTCTCCTCACTGGCCCCGCCCCATCTCAAGGCCCGCCCCCACCTTCCTGACGGCCCCGCCCTCACCTTCCTGCCGGCCCCATTCCACCCGGCCGGGCGCTCTTCTTCTCACTGGCCCCGCCCCATCTCACAGGCCCCGCCCTCACCTTCCTGCCGGCCCCGTCCCACCCCGCCGGGCGCTCTTCTCCTCACTGGCCCCGCCCCATCTCAAGGCCCCGCCCCCACCTTCCTGCCGGCCCCGCCCTCACCTTCCTGCCGGCCCCGTTCCACCCGGCCGGGCGCTCTTCTCCTCACTGGCCCCGCCCCATCTCAAGGCCCCGCCCCCACCTTCCTGCCGGCCCCGCCCTCACCTTCCTGCCGGCCCCGTCCCACCCCGCCGGGCCCTCTTCTCCTCACTGGCCCCGCCCCATCTCAAGGCCCCGCCCCCACCTTCCTGCCGGCCCCGCCCTCACCTTCCTGCCGGCCCCGTTCCACCCGGCCGGGCGCTCTTCTCCTCACTGGCCCCGCCCCATCCCAAAGGCTCCGCCCTCCCCTTCCTGCCAGCCCTGCCCCCTTCCCTTTCCCGTCCCCACTTTCCTGCCCTTCCCCACAGACCCGCCCTCACCTTCCTGCCTGCCCGCCCTCCCCTACCCACCGGCCCCGCCCCTTCCCGATAGTCCCGTTCCTCCCACCAGCCCGGCCTCTTCTCCCTTCCTGTCGTCTACCTTGCTGCCGGCCCCGCCCTTCCTCCCTGCTAGTCCCGCCCCTTCCCGCAGGCCCCGCCTTCCAGCCCTCCCCTCCCCGCCAGCCACGCCCTCACCATACCCACAGCCCTTCCCGCGAGTCCCGCCCCTCCCACTGGCCCCCGCCCCTCCCACAGGCCACGCCCCTCACCTTCTGGCTGGCCCCTCCCCCGTTTCCTACCGCCCCGAGCGTGGCCCTCCCGAGCGCGAGGAGGCCGGGAAGTTGGCCGCCCTAAAGATGGCGGCAGAATTGAAAAGCTGGAGCCGCTCCTGTGGCCCTGGGGGGCAGGGGACGGCACGGGGGCGGGGCAGGCGCGCTCTCGCCGTCCCTGAAGGGCGTGGGGCGGGACTGGGGCGGCCTGAGGGGGCGGGGCAGAGCGGGCGCGTTCCCGGCGGCCCTGAGGGGTGGGGGCGGGGCGCGGGGCGGGGCGCGGGGCGCGGGGCGGGGCCGCGCCTCGGCCCGGAAGTGCGGGGTGCGGGGTGCGGGGCGCGGACGTCCCCTGGCGGCCGCGGACGGAGAGTGCGGCCGCGCGGGCGGGAGGCGCAGGAGCGGCGGCGGCGGCGGCCGCGGGGCCGGGCGAGCATGTAGCGGCCACGGGCGGCGCGGGGCTCCCGGGGCGGGCCGGGCCGCGGGGGCCGCTCGCGGCGACATGGAGGAGGAGGGCAAGAAGGGCAAGAAGGTGAGCGTGCGCGGGCGCGTGCTCCCGAGGGCCGGGCGGGGGCCGGGCGGGGGCCGGGCGGGGGGCGGGCTGGACCCCAGGGCCGGGCGGCGGGGCCGGCGCCGGGGGTGCACCGGGAGGGTCCCTCGGGGCCGCCCTTCGGCCAGCCGGCTGGGGCGCGGGGCGGCCCCACCGAGGGAGGTCTGACCGGAGGTCAGGCGCGGAGGGGTCGGGGGGCGCACACTGTGGGGGGAGAGCGTGGCCGGCGGGCCGGGGCTCCCCGGTGCACGGCGCGCGGTCGGGCCCGGCACTGGGCCGCGGGGCCGGTCTCCGCGGACGGGGTGGGAGACGAGCCCCCGGACAACGGGGTTAGGTGGTCCTCCGGCCGGCCCGCGCGGCGGGGGAGGAAGGGCCACGCCTTTCCGCCCCTTCCGGCCAGTGAGCCCCCGAACCCCGGCTTTGCACATGCCATGCCCGCGGGTCGGTGAGCAGGGGCTGCAGCGGAGCTGGCCCGCTCAGGGGCCGGGAAGTTTCCCAGGGCCGGTGTCCTCGAGACAATGGGGAGGCAGCTGCCTGGTTGACTTCAGCTTCGTGATGCCGAGTGAAAACAAGAGCTGTGCCTCGCGGTCCAGCCCGATCGCGGGCGCGCTTCGGCGCGAATTGTCGCCGAGCGCGTTCAGTGACGTTACGCTTGGCGGTTGGATTTCGGACACAGTTCGGGAGGCTCCTTAGTTCGTGTAGTTTTGAGAATGTGGCTTTAATTATAGGCTAGAGCAGTGGCAAAGAAACTCGTTTCCAGCAGACCGTAGTAGCTAAGCTGCGTTAAAATGGAAAACGGGTTTCAATGAAAGGTCTCTTTCGGGGAGAGGATTTTTAATGTGCTGGATTTCGTTAGTGTGCACCTCTCTGTGCCAGTTTCAGACAGACTTTGGTAGGTCCTCCGATCGTACAGCCCGTGCTGGCTGGAGCCAGCTGCGCCCTTCACTCGACTCATCCCCTCGTTTCACAAGGTGCCCACTTTTGAAAGGTTGTATTTGAAATCCGGTGTGGCCCGTGGTCCTCAGGGGATCGTGTGGTGCTTTCCCTCTCGCTTTCTTTCCTCCTCGTGTTATGTCGGGAACGTGCGTCTCATTAAAGTGTGCTACCAGTTGCAGTTACTTAAGTCTGGAAAACAGCCCGAGAAAGCGATTCAGCCTGCAAGCGCTAGACTGCAGAGGGATGCTGCCCACCCTAAAGGGGGAGAGCTGAGTAGAAGGCTCCGGAAGAAAGTCAGCCCATTGCATCCCTCCCTATTACAGGCAGGCAGGCAGGTGGGCAGGACCCACGCAGGAGCGCCTGTCCCCAGCGCTCTTGGCTGCCGGTGTTAGTCCTGGCCCAGCAGATCACCAGTCTTGGCCTCGAAGCATCTTCCACACTCAGGCCAGATGGTGCTATGTCCGTTCACTCCCTTTGAACGGACGCTAACCTATCTGTGATGAGGAGGCATGGGATAGACTGACTCCTTTTAGGGCCCTTTACGAGGTTTGGTAGAAACATCAGAATATTCAGCAGTGTTGGGAGAGACAAAGAATGAGTGAGACATTCCTGAAATAGAAGTGAGAATTTTTTAGTTGGGGGCAGTTTAAGATTTAGGCCTAGAGGGGCACATGGGTGGCTCAGTCGTTAAGCGTCTGCCTTCGGCTCAGGTCATGATCCCGGGGTCCTGGATCGAGCCCCGCATGGGGCTCCCTGCTCGGTGGGAAGCCTGCTTCTCCCTCTCCCACTCCCCCTGCTTGTGTTCCCTCTCTCGCTGGGTCTCTCTCTGTCAAATAAATAAATAAATAAATAATCTTAAAAAAAAAAAAGATTTAGGCCTAGAGAAGGTTAATGATGAATTTCATTGTGTCTGTTAGAGAAGATAATCACTTGTTACATAGTAGCCTAAGCCAGGAGCTCTGTGTTTTCTCTGTATTCTGCCCCTGCCCTAGCTCATTTTCCCACAGGCAGGCCAGCCGACAGCTCTGGAGTGTGAATTCCTATCCAGGCCACAACTTAGCACACTTTCCCTCTTGCTCTCTGCCAATCTCAAGCAGGCAGAGCCTGTCTGCTCTGCTTCTCCGTTCCATGTGAGGTCACCTCCAACTCATGAAATTTGGTGCTTACATTGTTCTCTTTATGGTCAATTAACCAGATTAATCTATTTTAAAAGTTATATCCACATTCAAGCTAAAATAGCAGAAGTAATGACCTAATAGTTTTATGAAAGTACAGTTTGGGGGCACCTGGGTGACTCAATTGGTTAAGCGACTGTCTTTGACTGAGGTCATGATCCTGGGGTCCTGGGATCCAGCCCCGCATCTGGCTCCCTGCTCAGCGAGGAGCCTGCTTCTCCCTCTGTGTGCTGTTCCCCCTGCTTGTGCTTTCTCTGTCAAATAAATAAAATCTTTTTTTTTTTAAGATTTTATTTATTTATTTGACTGAGAGAGACATAGCGAGAGAGGGAACACAAGCAGGGGGAGTGGGAGAGGGAGAAGCAGGCTTCCCGCGGAGCAGAGAGCCCGATGGGAGCAGAGAGCCCGATGCGGGGCTCGATCCCAGGACCCTGGGACCATGACCTGAGCTGAAGGCAGACGCTTAACGACTGAGCCACCCAGGCGTCCCTCAAATAAATAAAATCTTAAAAAAAAGAAAGTACAGTTTGGACATTTAAATTATCTCTTCAAGTTAGCTCTCTCAAAATTGCAGATTTAACCTTTATTTTTAATTTTAATTTTATTTTTTTTTTAAGTAAGCTCTAGGCCCATCATGCGGCTTGAACTCATGACCCTGAGATCAAGAGTCGCATGCTGTACCGACCGAGCAAGCCAGGTGCTGCCAGATTTAACCTTTAAAAATGTGGATTGGTAGGCTTTTTCAGGTCTTCAGACACTTGTCCTGGTGTTTTGTCAAGCAGTTATTCAGGTTTGTTCTAATGTGGCCCATTTATTTCCTTAGCATAGGAGTCAGTTAGCTGCCAGAGAATAAGTAGAACAGAGTGGGTTTCATATAAAGTGGCCCCAGGTACAGCGCTGCCCTTTCTTTCTTTCTTTCTTTCTTTCTTTCTTTCTTTCTTTCTTTCTTTCTTTCTTTCTTCCTTCCTTCCTTCCTTCCTTCCTTCCTTCCTTCCTTCCTTCCTTCCTTCCTTTCTTTCTTTCTTCTTTTTTGAGTGGGGTGGGGTGGGGTGGGGAGAAGAGAAGAGAGGGAGAGAGAATCTTAAGCAGACTCCATGCCCAGCCCAGAGCCCGATACGGGGCTCGATCTCACCACCCTGAGATCATGACCTGAGCTGAAATCAGGAGTCGGATGCTTAGCCGACTGAGCCACCCAGGCGCCCTCAGCCCTGTCCTTTCCTAGGCTACCCTAGCACATAGGATGAGGGTGACCTGAGCCCTTCTAATGTCCTTTGGAAAGTCCTGGCTGATGGGGATGTGGGAGGAGCCGGTCAGGAAATGAGCACGTCCTGGTGCATCTGGGGGATTCGTGTGTGGACCAAGAAGTCCACAGGCTCCTAGGGGCATGGGGCCTGGGGAGTAGGAATGACCACTGGGGGGTCACTCTCTCCACCCACATGTCCCCAGAGTGACTGATATCTTTCAGACCACAAATCCTGATTTGGGGTTTGGAGAATAAGGCTGCCTCCTTATAAAATGGACCCGAGTTCCATGAGTTCTGACACTGTTCCGTCAGGATGTAATTCTTTTTTGTGAGAAACTTAGGTGTATGCGTGAGTTGGATCATATGCTTGATCGGACGAGGACCCCAGCCTGTGGGAGGTCACCACCAGGCCTCTATGCTGTTCGGGTCCCGGCTTCTGCTGCTGGTCACACCTCTGGCAGCCATGCTTTCAACCTGAATGGCTAAATATTTTTATGTTAGGTTACTTTATTGTGCATTCCATAAATGGAAAAAAAGAAAGGTTATAAGGTACCCTGGAAATGTAGGACTGGATGTTAAGTAATAGCAGGGAGTTATTATTAATTTTGTTAGATAGAATGTCTGTATTACGTTTGGTCGAGTTCTGAGCTGATAGACAGACACGCTGAGCTATTTATAGGTAAAATCGTGGGATTCCTGAGATTGGCTTTACTCAGACTGGAAACACAACAGAGAGGAGATAGCTGAATGCTGTGGTCGTGGGTGTTCCCCATCCATTATTCTGTTTACTTGTGTGAATTTTTGAGTTTTCATATAAAAAGTGGGGAGAAAGCGATCCACCAGGTTATAGGCCCTGAATCATCAGCTCCTGTAGCTGCTGGACCATCCTCCCGGCAGTGTCTGTGAGGAACTGGGGGCTTGGCTGGACCAGTGTCTTTATACCCTTGTGGCTCCAGCTGTCAGCCAGCCTTCTCCACAGACGTGTGTGTGTGTATGTGTGTAGCTGAAATGGTACTTCATATAAGCAGTGCACTATGAGTTTTTTACTCTGTTCTTTTCTGGTTTTCCCATTAAACAAGTGCCAGTCACGATGTGTCACAGCCGTAACGTGGGTTAACACAGGGGCTTTGGGGTCTGTTTTATCTTTCCTCTCGGGGAGGTTTCACAGTGACTCTTGGGTGACCATGTGGTGACACCGAGCTGGGAGGCGGGCAGACAGGGACAAGAGGTGCCTGGCAGAGACCGTAGGGCCGGTGGAGGCCAGCAAGGCTCGTTTCGCTCTGATTTGGGGAGTT